CCAGAAGGAAGATTCTCTCTTGAACGATTGCAGTCAGTTCTCACAGCCCTAGGAGGTGACAGATCCAGGCTGGTCTTAGATCTCAGCTGCCGCAGAAAGGACAACACATGGTTCGTGGCCATGAACCGCTGGCAGACGATCACTGAAATGGAGATTAACCAGGGTATACTTCAATTTCTTTTGTTCTTCTCACCACTCCGAAGCTAACACTGCCCCAGACTCAATCTCAATGCTTGAGCCGTATTGCTCCGAGTTCCTCATTCATGCTGCGGATGTAGAAGGGCTACAGCAGGGTATTGATGAAGAACTTGTGGCGAAGCTGGCCGAATGGTGCTCAATACCCATCACATACGCTGGTGGGGCCCAAAGTCTGCAGGATCTTGAGAAGGTCCATGTGAGCAGTCATGGAAAGGTCGACTTGACTATTGGTAGTGCTTTGGATATCTTTGGTGGCTCGGGTGTAACGTTCGATGAGTGTGTACGGTGGAATCAACAGCATTGAATATGTATCATACAGGAACTCTTGGTGGCATATATACAGATAGAGCAAACATCTATTGGGAAGCTCCATGAGAAAGGTCACTAATACAATAATGTGCTCATGAGCTAACTCTGTCCATATGAAGCGAAAGGTGCCTCTCATTAACTGTAAGTGCGTCGAATCGTCACCCTGAGGATGAAGTCTCATGTTCATGGCCGGCACGAACGCTCAGGTGTTGAAGTACAGAATGAGAATGGACGAAATCCAGCTTCTTTTGTTATCCGGCATTTACGCCTGAACTTCGGATTTCCGATGTTCTTTCGCATCAGGATAGTGAGCTCGTTTGTCTTTCTACCCATTTTCTTTTCCTTCTTCGGAGACTCAGCCGGCGGGTACCCGTTCAATGTCAGCCCCTTGCTATTCGATAGAAGCTTGGTATGCCTTCTGAATAAACGCCCAGAGCTCAATCAAACCCTCTGCTACGGCATGTTCTAGTAGTAGCTGGGAGTCAATTGAAATGCGGTAAACAGTGACAAACAATCAGTTTTCTGATTATGTTCTACAGACAATATTTCTTCTGTAATCGTCATACATCCAGCTGATGTTCATGTACATGGACGACTCCAGACCATGTGTTTCGCGCGATACATGGAGGTCTGAGTTTGCTTTTTAGATCTCATGGGAATGCTTGATTCAGCATGTGCGTTGTCGTCTGATCAATTGAAGAACCCAGGAATTCTGTTTAAGTCTCCTGGAATCAAAAGAAAAATAGAAATCATATTGATGCTTTCGCCAGTGGATGACGGAAATGATGAGTATGACGACGCTCATTGGACCTCACATGCCAAATGCGGCTAAGGCGGATCAATAGAGCTCTCCGCCTCCCCTCTGGAGTGCAAGCGGCAGACGATACGGAGTACAAACATCAAAAGCTCCAGCATCTCGATTATTTGAGCTCACATGAGCGAAGCCGCTAATTTCCAGTCGACTCCGTATCTAACATATCACCCGCATTGTCTCTTACACGCCAGTTGTCGATCTTTGCGAGGATAAGCCGACCTCTCAGCGAGACCGCATTGCTTGACGTCTATCAATCACTTATCGCATCTCTGGTCACGACAACGTCAAAATGAAGCCCGTTGTATCTGTTCTAAATGCCTGGTCTTGGTAAGTCATTGTCGCCTTCCAGACCGAATCAGAAGACTAACAGATACCTCCGATACAGCGTGGTCATCTCCGCCTTCGCTATTGTCATTCTGTCCGTCCTCGGATCGTTATACAAGGTTCGTCTGGTGCCTTACGTATTCGCTCAACAGCCATCTTTGCTGCCTCGTTCCCCTTTTTGCTCCGACCACACATAACACTGGATTATCGTGACGGCCTGCTGACAATGTATTCAGAGCGAACACCATGGATTCACCGGATCGGAAAACGACCCCGAAGATGGCGGTGCAGTTGCTGCTTCGATTTTCACCGCGGTGATCATATACGCTGTAAGTCTATCGCACCACCATCCTGTGCGTCAAGTGATATGGAGTGGATGTGCTGACAAATTGTCGTGGCAGTGTTTCTTCGTTTTCTGCGCCTTCCAGGCTTATCTGCACATGAGAAGCCGCCGGGGCGGTGCTATCTCGCTAAACTAGACAATTTCTTATATATTTCTCGCAAGAAAACATGGAACTCGCCATTTGATCTATGTCCGTATTACGAAACAAAGGGATATGTCGAGTGCCTCTGGGGACCCTCATGAATGCGTGTATCTCTTGCGATTCCGCTGTTGACGGCTGTCGATCAGATGATGATTACAAATCCTACATTATTTCCTGAGCCTTCATTCTGGCGATTGTGATGTCCGTGATTGCTTTAATCAGGTGTGGTGTTCTTGCTTCAGCGGTATTTGTCTTCGATTTTTAGAGCACACTTTCTTTACCGTGGTTTGTCCGGAGTACATATTGTGTCGTTGTATTTGACATAGAGCTGCTTCAAATTTACGATTTACTGTTGCATGGAGAACTGCAGAATAGCAGACTGGGCCTTGCACAAAACAGTATCTAATTCTATCATTTCGATGACTTGAAAACTGGAAAGGACAGTAGGACTGGCAACATGTTTACACCCAAGGATGGAAAGCAGCGGCTAAGACATGTACGGGAATCGAAATTGTAATGCATCGAAACACCAACGCCATCATGCGAAACGCCTGAGAACACCCAATTATGCCATGTACTCTCGACAGAACCCGACCTTTGCGAGCGCAACTTTTAAAAACCATCATTATCATATCAATCCTCGCCATCAAACACACAAAGACAAAACATTCTTGTGCTTATTCGAGTCAGAATTCTTCATCTTCAATTGGGTCAAGCATCTTGGACATGTAAGGACCGTCCAGTGTGTACCCGAGACGAGCATAGTAACTGCGGACACCAACTCCCGAGATGACGCTGATCTTCCGGCTTCCATGTTCTTCTCGCGCGATCCGCTCGGCCTCCTCCATTAGCAAGGTTCCAAATCCTCGGTGCTGGAACTTCCGCGGGTCGCGGCCGTGGAGCGGTACCGCAGAGCCGTATACGTGGAGCTCTCGCACAATACTCGTCTGCTGGCCGGTGAATTCCGGACGGAAAGTGTGAGTCGGACTGCACTTTCGGAGGCGCAGTAAACCGATGAGAATGTCCTGCTTGGGATCTTCATAGGCGAGGAACGTTTCCCAACCACCGTTGGCAGTATAGTCTCGGCGGATGAGCTCCACTTGCGAGGGGCGGATTTTGTTCTTCACTTCATTGATACCAACTTCGCGGGTGCGCACATCACGACATGTTGTGCCAAAGTCTTTCATGCGTGCTAAAGCCAGTTCTCGAAGGTTACCATTCTCGACGCCGGAAGTGACCAGGGGCATGGGAATATCTCGCTGCACACGGTAGATACGCGTCCATGGAGGGACCAGCGCAAGAATTCGAGCGACGAGATCTACCAGCGCGTTGGGAGTGTAGTTCTTGTAGCGACCCGTCCTCCAAAGCTCATACAGCCCTGTGCCACGAATGACCAGCGTCGGATAAATCTTCAGACCGTCCGTACGGAAGGCTGGGTTTTCAAAATATTCCTGAAACTGGAAAAGATCCCGTTCCATGCCGACATTCGGCAGATCCGGCATCATGTGGCTAACGACCTTGAACCCAGCATCTTTGGCCAGCTTGAATGTCTCTGCCACCGCAGCGACAGTATGGCCTCGATTCGTGTCCCGCGCGACATCTTCATACAAACTTTGCACGCCGATTTCCAATCGGGTGCACCCATACCGAAGCATATCACTCAGATGAGTATCCAGACAGTAATCAGGCCGCGTCTCGATCGTAATACCAACGCATTTTATGTTGCTCATTTCGCCCGCCTGAACAGCCTCGTCAACATTGTCCGTCTGGTACCCACTCAGCGCATTGTGAAGTTGAGCAATGAAGGATTCTCTGTAATCCGGTGGAAGAGACATGAATGTGCCACCCATGACAATATATTCCACCTTGTCCACACTATGGCCGAGAGACTTGATCTGATCAACCCGACCTCTCGCCTGTTCAAACGGATCGTACCGCGCTCGGATCGCGCGCATCGACGTCGGCTCGTAGCCAGTATATGACTGTGTCGAATACTCAAAATCCGAATCTGGTCCACCAGGGCAGTAGACACAAATGTTACCGGTGTAGGCAATATGCGGACAACGGTGAGGTTTGCTCATGACGGCGACAACTGCAATTCCTGACGAAGTCCGAATAGGTTTCGCAATCAGCTTGGGTAAGATATATTTCTTGTATTGTTCCGGCACAGCAGCGATAATAGCTGTCAAGGGAGGTTGCGTAGCCAGGCGATGCTTCTTCGCGATTTGGCCGCGCAGCTTGTTGAGGTTGATATCTTTCTTCGGCTTGGATGAATCCCTCTGCGCTTCATATTCCTGAATGAGCGCATTTGCAATATCAGAGCAAGCTCGCATATAACGTTCATTTTCTGGTGGGAGTTTCTCGTTGCCGTTCTTAGATTTGGATGGTGGCGGCAAAGTCATGGTGAGGGACGCCATTGTGAAATGGATTACTGCGACGATCGCAGATAAAAGTAGACCCCTAAAATCTCAATGAAGAGCTATGAACGGTAATATGAAGTACAAAGATGGTCGTCCCAACCAGGTAAGCTAGGATAAAAGAGTAGTCACGATCCCGCTTGACAGAGGGGCAGATTTGTTATCAGCGATATTTTGTATGTGATCAGGTATTAAATTTATCAGATAGCAGGGAGATGGGAAAAAAGGAACGCCGAGGGAGCCAACCGACCGCCGCGACAAATCGGATCCGCTTAAAGCTTTGTCCCGAAAAGTCCAAACCCCAAACCCATCCCGGCGCGTTTTCCTGCTGAAGTGTCCCATGTCATTTTGATATATTCTTCAAAGCTTCCCCAGACCTTCAGTTCTTTTCTAGCACACTTACCGGTGCTCTCTCCCCTCTGTCTTTCTATTCTTTGCATCTCACAGGCAACTATGCAGGCTTTCCGCCGTAGCACCCTCTCTGCCCTTCAGAATGCCGCTGCTGTGCAGCGACGAGCTTACAGCCAGGGCAGCTCGATCTACTCTGAGACTGTGAACAACCTGCGCATCAATGGAGACACCAAGGTTCTCTTCCAAGGTTTCACTGGAAAGCAGGGAACGTATGTTGTGGCGATATCTTGCGTTCCTATTTCAGCTGCATACAAAAATGCTGACGTTGCTTTTTTTCCGCTACAAACAGTTTCCACGCCGAACAAGCCATTGCCTATKGTACATTACGATTAACCCCTTGATCCTGGTTGTGCGAGTCTGCGACAAGAGTTCAAAAGCTTACAATTCCCAGGAACCAAGGTTGTCGGTGGTACCAACCCCAAGAAGGCCGGTACTATGCACCTTGATAGACCTGTTTTCGCAAATGTCAGCGAGGCTGTGAAGGAAACTGGTGCCACTGCCTCTGCCATCTTCGTCCCGTATGGATTCATGATTCCTGGTTTCCGTCGTCGCCGGAGTGGCTGATACTGATATATTCCAGTCCCCCTCTCGCCGCTGCGGGTATCGAGGAGGCTATCGCGGCTGAGGTTCCCTTGGTTGTTTGGTGAGTTGTGCTCCCATTTCAAGAAAATTCAGTGACTGAGCATCGCTAACGCCGATGTTTCGCATTTCTCAGCATTACCGAGGGTATTCCCCAGCACGGTATGTCTCCTTGCTCCGCGAAATGTAGCTTCTTTTTGCGCAAGAACTGACTCGGAATCAACAGACATGGTTCGCATCACGGATATCTTGAAGACTCAGAACAAGACCCGTCTGGTTGGACCCAATTGCCCTGGTATCATCGCTCCTGTAAGTTCATTCGCATCCGAATTTGTGATATGGCAAGGACGTGCGGTGTGTTGATATGCTCCTTTTCTATGTTGTAGGGCCAATGTAAGATTGGTATCATGCCTGGATTCATCCACAAGCGTGGTCGTGTCGGTATTGTGTCTCGGTCCGGAACCCTGACCTACGAGGCTGTCAACCAGACCACCCAGGCCGGTCTCGGTCAGTCCCTCGTTGTTGGTATCGGTGGTGACCCCTTCTCCGGTACCAACTTCATTGACTGCCTGAAGATCTTCCTCGAGGATGAGGAGACAGACGGCATCATCATGATTGGTGAGATCGGTGGTAGCGCCGAGGAGGATGCTGCCGAGTTCTTCAAGGCCAACAACAAGCACAACAAGCCCGCTGTTGGTTTCATCGCTGGTATTAGCGCTCCCCCCGGTCGTCGTATGGGCCACGCTGGTGCTATCGTCAGCGGTGGTAAGGGTGGTGCTGACTCCAAGATTGCGGCCCTTGAGAGCGCCGGTGTCACTGTGGAGAGAAGCCCTGCCCATCTTGGTAAGACTCTGCTCGCTGAGTTCGTCAAGCGGGATCTGGTTTAGATGGACTCCCGGTGAAAGAGTTTTCCGCTTGTCCCTCAGGCAGTGTGGCTTGGCTTGGGCCTATTGATATTGGATTGCAAGGTGGTGCGTGACTGTGCATTAGGGTACCTTATACTCCTCATACCTATTATTACCCCCAGGACGGCCTCTTCTTTTGTCCGTGTGTTCCTTGGCCAAATGTACCTTTCCTTTTTTCCCCTTTCTCGGTTGTTTAGAGGTGATAGGAAGTAATTAGCTTCGATATGTAAATTTCATCGTTGTTTATCTCTTTTGGAAAACCCAGGTCGTATTCTATCTCTGGCTTCATAGACTCGTTGCTGCAACTGTCTGTGTGCCGGACCAGCTCCTCCACAGTCACTCCATGAGCAATCAGTCCTATTCGAAAGCCTTGCGGCATGCAGGTATATATATCCGACTGGAGCGTGGGATGTCTCGCTCGAGGACTAGGCCTACCAGGAGAAATCTGATTGTGTTCGGTTGCAATTGTACATCGCCTTGGCCGAAATATTTTGATTCAGGTGACCTTGAAAGTTCAAGTTCAACCATGTGGATCAGCGACTAAATAGATATATGCGACCCGGCCTGGTTCTACTTGTAGTTACGTAGTTAAATTAAAAGAAACCGACGCATGTTCGATTAAGGTGGTTTCAGGCTACCACCAGTACAGCTTAAGGACCTGGATATACTATTAGATTCCTTTTGTCTCCMAAAACAGTAGGTCTTTCGCTCTAGATCCTTCAGGATCGGAAACTATTGGTTCGAGTAATGCCATTCCAAGTACGGAGTACCTTACAATAATTGTGTTCTATCATTCCTTGTCATTGAGCAAATAATGTCAAGAGAATATTGTGTGCAATGACCCAATCCTACAGGCACTGTTGCGGCACCAGGCACAGCTGCTCATTAAGTGCCAGCAATTTCCCCAGTAATTTGAATCTGTCTCGCTGCTAACAAGTCAAATCAGTCAAATCATTCAACACCCATCTACTATTCCCCGTCCATGACGGATGAGCCCATAAACAACGGTGATCATCACTTGAGATTCCATTCCAATGTTTTGTTGTTTTGGAAATCTGCCTGCGGAATGAGACTTAGCTAATCCACACGTGACCGTTGCTTGAGGAACCGCCGCCTCTGTTTATTCCACCTTTGCACACTCAAAACTTATGACCAGACTGCAACCACGGCCACTATGAGCCTTCGATAGCGTGCTTGCGACTTCTATAACGACCCGATTTCATGTCTTGACGAACTCATCTCCAAAATCACGACTTTCCCCCTCCAGCCTCTTTCCTGCATCGGCCTTCCGTGGTGTGAGTTCGAGTGATTACGTTGAGGTGGCTGTAGACCCGATCATCAAAACAGACGCCATTGCCCGTGGTTACCAACCTACTCGCACCCAGCAGCTAACGAAAACACAACCACCTAGTCGGATAGTGTACTAGCAGACCCTCCACTATGGCTCATGAGATGGGTAAGATGTTCCTGCGTCTCTTTCGGTGTTCTGAGGCTTCTACTTTTCATCTGATCTCCCGTCGTTGCGGCCCTGCCGCTAGCCTATCTCTTTTAGCCTCCGCCTTCCGTCCGTTGTTGCTAATCCGTAGCCAAAACAAACAGGGCGAGCTGCATCGCAATGCTCGAGTGTCGCATCACAAACAACGCAGTTAGCAGGACCGCATAGTCGTCCTGGCACGGCAGATCCTATGCGAGCGCGGTCAGAAGCTGTAGTTTCAAGAAACAGCCGTCGACCAAGGTCTAGAGGATCAACAGCCAGTATCCATTCCAGCACCACGCAACAAACACAGGACCAACAGATCACCGATGGGTTCTCCCAATTTATACCCTCCCAATCTGCCGCTGGTCACAATGTCTTCGCGAGTAATCCCGAAGACATCATTATCCGGTTTGGCCAGCAGATCTCGCATCCCGTGAATGGCGCTTCGCTCGATCCGACACTCCAAGATCCTCATCATTCAGTCCTTCCTAGGGCAGAGGAATTTCCGAGCCATGCAATGCATGGGCATAGCCTCTCTCACCATTCAATCCCTCCAGGCCTGTCGCATCACGGGCTGTCTGCCATGCCGATCGCTCAGTATCAAGCGATTTACGATAGTAATATTGAAAATCACTTACCAGAGCATGTGCTGGAAGACAATGAGAACTCTGAGACTGGTGGGAAGAAGAAGAAAGGTTCCAATTCATCATTAGCGAATGACAACGAACTGCGAAAGTTGCTCCGTCAGTACGAAGGCTATTCACTCAAGCAGATGGCGGCAGAGGTTTTGAAACATGAAGGGGCAGGGGGTAAGGCCGAGAAAGTTAAGCAGGTCTTTGCCATGATCTGGTAAGAGCGAACGCGCAGTGCCCATTGTTATTTACAGGTAATCAGTACTCATGGATGCTTAGGTTGAAGGACAATTGCCGGAAGAGCAGCGGTTCTGTCCGACGAGACCGTGTTTATTGTTGCTATGCAGAGAAATGTGGCACCGAGCGTGTTTCAGTCTTGAATCCGGCTTCCTTTGGTAAACTCGTGCGCATCATATTTCCGAATGTGCAAACCAGACGCCTTGGTGTTCGCGGTGAATCCAAGTACCACTATGTCGATTTAACGGTCATCGAGGAAAAGCAGCAGAAGCCGCCGCCGTTGAACCCACAGGTCTCGTCGATCACCAATGGTCAAATTGGTGGTGGCATAGAGAACAAACTTGACGGAGCCGTGCAGAAGAGGTTTGTCAATCACATACTCGATAGGCCCGGAAGATGCAAGCTTACATGTCTTTTCAGTATTCTACCACCGCCGCCAACAGATACCGCAGTGTTTCCTTCACCAACTGTGTCATTTACACCTAGGTTCTCAGCGAATTCCTCGACCGCAGGGTGCATCTGCCAAGCCACGACTAATTCCAACGGTGACCACAGCATTACCCTCGAGAACGTCGGAAATCATTCTGGAAAAATGATTCATCAGATGCTCCACCTGCCGTCCGCCGAGGACACGTCTGTTGACAACGACTCCTTTCAACTACCCGATATACGGGGGTATCTTCCCTGCAATACCGATACTAAGGTCGCGGCGGCTCTTGCAGCCCTTTACCGCTCCCATTGTATCTCCGTAATAGATAGCTTCCGCTACTGCAAGGAGCGGAACCTCCTCCGCTATTTTTCCGCTTTTCATGGGACCTTGACGGTTCCAGTACAGAAGCTGCTGACCCATCCAAACCTCGCTCCTTGGATCAAGGAGTGCGATTGGCTCATGTACCAGAAGATGATTGCATTCGTGGCGCCTCTCACCACGCAGGTCGTTCCCAAACTTGTCCTGGACGCTTTTAGCTCGATTTCCCAACGGCTGACTACTCATATTGGTGAGACATTCAAAGCGCAACCTGCACATGTCAGCTTGGCAAGATTAATACCGGCCCATATTTTCTGCAATCTGCTCAGGCACATGCTTGATGTAAACCAATCAGCCAATGCGGCCGCAGCTTGGCTGTGCCATCCTGACAATAGGAACCAGATGTGGTTCGATTTTAAAACGCTTGTTGATCCAAAGGAAATGGTCTCACGGGCGAATATTCCCACATGCGCGGAGCGGGCTGCAGAGCAGATACTGAAACATGACGTTCGAGCTCTGCTAACTCCTGTTGACGACCTGAACCCCTCTGCCTCTCACCCGTTCTTTACGAAGCCAGACACGGAAGCGGATCGCGCGGCTCGTGAATACCCCGTCGAGGCGTCCGCAGGTGAGGAGTACAACTTTCCCGATAAGTGGATATCTTTTATACTCAACCTATCCTCTGCATTTCCCCACCATCGCACGCAATGCATCATCGAAAAGGTCGACGCCTTGTGGGATTGCATTCTCCGCCGATTGACCCTTGGCGGTGCACAAAGCTTCAGCGCCTGGTGGATGACGAAAGTTTTCTTTCACGAGATGATGTTATGGCAGGCAGAGAAGAATGGTTTTATGCGTTTCACACCAAGCACCTTGCAAAATACGAGTTTTGGCTCTGACCAGTCCAGTCCGCCCAATTTCCTGCTGAAACAATCTAGCGGTCCATCTACTGAGAAGAATGATTCTTTCAGCGCTTCTGATGCGCAGCAGGGCAGTGACTCGAGGCCAAGGTCAACTACAAGCCCTTCATCGGCGGATGTGAATCCCCAAAACAGGACATCGCTCAATCGACCGCCGTCAGACGCAGGCCCAAATCATGCTTCCGTGGAGAGTGAAAAGCCACCTAGCATCGCTGATAACATTGCCAGCTTTCACGCTCCCAATAATGACGATAGTGCTATTGACCTTGACGATGATTCAATGCTCATGTCCGTGGGCAAATATGGTGATATGATGGCCTCTGACCCAGCAGACGCTGAAGGAGATGTTGTCGTCATCTAGGTGCTTATGCATATTTGCCGCATTTTACGCTTATACTTTTGGACAGGGTTCTTTTCTTTTCAGGGAGTTGGATTTGGATTTGAGGTGCATCTTTTGGTTGACTATTTACGCTCACGTATAAGGTTCGGCGTTGGACGATCTTTGCACGAGGGATGAAACGAGCATCGATTCGACAGGCATCGGTCTGTAACACTGCGGTTATTCAGGTTGACTTCATACTCATTAATAGCGTGTTGGATTCCGCTTCTTCTATCAGCATTCCTCTTCTTTTGCCTTTCGATTGCAACCAGGAGACCGACTTTGATGTACATAGGATTACGGTCGATTTTGTCTGTTCAGATGATCTACAGCTTTTTGACGGACTTGGCCTTGGTTTACAGCATCCACTTCTTCTTATACGCTCTTTCTAATCTTCTGGTTCGCGTACCCCGGGTTCGCTCTGACTCTTTTGCATCGAAATACCACTTGTCGGTGGGTTTTGCATTGTTCCGGCGACTGAGGTCGGTCGAGCAGTATCCGCTAATTCGATCCAAATTATGCGCGATGTCAACTATTTGGCATACCTCTAAGACTGCTCCCCGTCTTGGTTGAGTCATGTCGTCTGTCGTCGCTGCAAATCGGTCGTGACGTTTCCCTCAGGGAACAGTCCTACCCCCTACAATCCGTCATGCTATACGCACAAAGCCCGGGCTTTCTCCACGTCGCGGGTCCCGCATGGCGGCTAACTTCTCTGCCGTGCAGGAGAGACGCTCGACCTGGCGCAAGATCAGAATGATGACCCGAACTGTATGGTGGACTTGCAGCGATTCGGTTTGTTCATTTCGTTCTATGTGAAACACCGTGGAGTATCATGTAATCAGTCGTTACATATCCTTTGAATTCTGACTTTCCTCTTTTCAACGTGATCATCGTCCGTACACCCATACAATTTGCAAAATTTGGAATACATAGACAGGTAGGAAAACAACCTAGACCGTAACTTAAACGCCATTCCGACTCACGATTTCGGACCTCTATCATATGGCTTATTGTAAAATGGATGACATGGTGTGCTTACACGAACAAATAAGCCAAGCCGGAACCCGCGATGACTCTTGGCTCACTGAAAAGAAACGAGGCTGTAGGAGGATAGAGTGGGTGAAGAGGACAGTTCGAAGTGATGCATGAATGTTGCTTGTTGAGCTGGGCTGCCGCATTGTCCTGATGCGGCGCCTACCTAAATTCTCCAGCGGGGAAGAATCGAGGACCAGCAAAGCCGTACGTGATGATACTCCGAATATCGATATTGCCATCGTTGCGGGGGTTCCAGAGCTTGATCAAGATGTATCTGCCTGAGCTATTGAGGATGGTCAGCGAACTTTGAGTGATGCGATGCAACAGGGTTTCGGAATACGTACGCTGGTGGATCAAACTTGATGCTGACCATGCTCTTTGCTCGCTCTATGAAGAAACGAGCATGCGGCTTTAACACAGGCGGAGATGATGAGCCTGCAGGTCGAGACTCTGGGGCCGCAGATGATGTAGCAGGTTCGACACGATTGGGGATCCGACGGCGCCTTTCAAGCCCGCGCTGTTCCATCTCGTACGACCATTCCACAGCCTCTATACGCTGCAGCATTTCATCACGTCTCCGGTAAAAGGTAGCTTCGTCGGAAACAACCCGTCTTTCAGTCTCACTTTCATCGCTTTCGGAGCCGTCAACATCATCCGCCTCATCCTCGTCGTCCATGTCACAGCCATCATCATTATCAGAGGTACCATCATATTCAGTCGTTACCTGAAACTCAGCCATGGGATCGGGGGCATCGGGTCCTGCGATGGTGCTGATGTCGCTATCAGAATCCGAAGGAGAATCTGTGTTACCAAATACCGCTCTTTCCAAAGTCTGGAGGGGTGTCCGGAACGCGTTCAGATATTCCTCAGAAGGCTGCAAACCAGTACGCCTGCTCCGATTAGAACGACGAGGGGCCGGTCTAAGAATCTTGAACGCGGCGGTACGAGCCAAGACATCATCATACGCCATAGACACGAACACCATTCCTTCCTGGACTCTAGAGAACGATCAGTAAATCCGAGATAGGTGCACGAGTGACTGCTTGAGATGGGACATACGGAGCATTGTAACCAGATTTGGGGGCCTTGATGTCAATCTTGCTCAAGCAGAAGGGGGCGTCTCCCCGATGCTTCAGAATCAGATTGCATCGATCTGACTTTGTGCAGTAGACAGCTGAATCATTGCGCAAGATGTTCTCTGGCCACGAATTCTCGCCGTCAGAATCATCGTATGTCCCACCGTCGCACATTTTGATTTCCATCTTCAGGGCGCCAGGAACTACTTGGCCATAGTGGCCGTAGCGAAAAGCTTGGGGCCCTTCTCTTTTGTCGTCTGACTCGAGCTTTCTGCGTTTGACCCTTCGACTGTCCCCCTGCACATCGGTGCCTGGTTCTAGCGGCATCGCAGAAAGTGTTTCATCGAGTGGTACGAGCTCGTCAAGAAGGGATTGTGCCTCGGGAGCTCTGTTTCGTCCTTCTTGGTGTCGATGCCGCATGGGCCGGCGTCTAGAAGGTCTGCTGTCACTAGCTGATCGTATGGAATTCGAAGGAGCTGTGCTAGGATTCAACCCCGCGACATCGGTAGTTGAAGTCCTCTGCGTCCCTAGTCGCGGGTAGCCTATGTGATCAGCACCGCGCGTCTGCTCCTCCCTGTGAGGTGTCGCTGCCTGCAAAAGTTGGATCTGACGATCTACAGCTTCTCTAGCTTGCTCAAAGCTGGTCCAGTTCCGGGCCCGACTGGAACGATATTCCTCTATCTCCTGGTTGAGTATTTCCAAAGCGCGGGTAGTCGCTGAACTATCCCGATGGCGCTCAGAGCTCAATAAATCCCTCAGATGTTGTAAGCGATTTTCAGTAGGTGGTTGAGATCTGTCGGAAGTACGACTTGCACGAGGGGCACGGCGGGAGGCAGGAGGGTAATCGTAGTTCCCAGACTACAGTTCGAATGTACAACAGTCAACCAAAGATACCAGAAATGGGGGCTCCACACAATAACTTCGGGCTCGATGGAATCCATCAATGAAGTGAATGTAGGATTGAGAAATACTCTGAGTTACCCACGCACCATTCTATGAAATTAATATGCTGTCAGCTGGCGTGACAGGCCGAACCGCTCGAGAGGCGGAGAAGATGCACTATGCCAGTATGATTGAAGAATGTAGAAAAGCGAGCGAGCGAGCGAGAGAGAGAGAGATCGATGTGATTATGGAGAAAGACGAGACCGGTCAGAAAGAGGAATGACCTGACCAGAAGCTTGAAGAATGGGAAATAAAAGAGAACAGATAAAACGACTGAGAAATGGAACAAAAGAAGTTGTCAGGGCTTTGAGTTACAACTAGAGATTAGCCGGAACTGAGACGATGTGGAGGAGGAGAAGCATAGTATTATTGATAACAGCGGGAAATGACGCTTCAGTGAAAGGCGATAGCTTATCAGCCATGATGTGCGGCACGTGATTCCAGGATAAGGAACTGGCATTCCCTCATTCAACACTCCCTCTGATTGCCTTCATTGTCTTCTCAAAATTCACTAGCTCCTGAATAGTTCTGCCGGTTATCTGCATGCGGATGGCGCTTAAGGCACTGGACGCTTCCCTGTTGCTCTTCTACCCTCTCCCTGATCGTCTCTCTACCTGGTGACTGAGCAGTGAGCACTCCTTCTCATCTACACCTCCTCCGGACTTCGTTTATCAAGAACAGACGAAGACTGGCCTCGCTTTGGCTGGAATCAGTCTAATTGCGGCCGAAACATATTGACCGTCTTTTGTGCGATCCGTTATCGTCACAATTCTTAACAAAAACACCAGATTAATTGGATTGGGAAAGCGGCTCAAGGAAACCATTCGCGGTCTCCGGTAACCCTTCAAACGCCCACCAGCCAGCATGGCGTCGTCGCTAGAAAACGCAGCTCAATCAATCAGTGCAGGTAGGTGCACATTCCCCAACCACGGAGAACCCCGGGATATATATGTCTGACATGCTATGATCATCAGATGAGATTGCTCTGTATGATCGTCAAATCCGTCTTTGGGGGGTCAAGGCCCAAGAGAAGTGAGTTTCCGAAATTCCCAGTCGTGCGCGTTTATGAGCTGATTTTGAATGCCCTTCGTTTTAGGATTCGGTCCGCAAATATCCTTCTGATTACGTTCAAAGCATTGGCGAATGAAATCGCAAAGAACCTTGTTTTGGCGGGCATCGGTACTCTTACTATTATCGATCATGAGACTGTCAAGGAAGAAGACCTTGGAGCCCAATTCTTCATATCCGAGGAGCATGTTGGCCAGAATGTATGTCGTCCAATCGCGGAACTTCCAAGTGAGGAAACATAAAAGCTAATCAGGAGGACAGCGCGCCCAAGCTGCGGCCCCAGCGATACATGCGATGAACCCCAGAGTTCAGCTTCGGATCGACACGGAAGATATCCAGACGAAGCAACCGGATTTTTTCGCGCAATTCGATGTTACCATCGCCACGGAGCTTGACTTCCCAACTTACTCGACAATCAATGCCGCATGCCGCATCTCCAACCGTCCATTCTATGCTGCTGGTTTGCATGGATTCTACGGCTTCGCATTCGCCGATCTGATTTCTCATGACTTTGTCATTGAACGTTCCAAATCGAATGTTTCGCCGTCAACCCAAGAGACTCCCACCAGAAGCATCATCAATATCACCACAAAGAAAGAAAGTGACAAAATCATCGAGATGGTGACGAAGCGGGAAGTCTACTCTCCACTCATCTTAGCAAACACATCACCTCTCCCTGAGGACTTGACCCGACTGCCCAGACGACGGAGACAGGTCACGCCACTTCTGACATGCCTTCGGGCATTGTGGGAGTTCCAGAAGCTTTCCGGGGGCAGATTGCCTACATTCTCCCGGCAAGATCTTGAACTGTTCACCAAGCTTGCTCGTGACCGTCACCAAGAACTGAAGCTTGACATCAGCACTTTGGACTCGGAATTCTTACGAAACTTTTTGCAGAATCTCGGCAGCGAATTGAGCCCTGTGGCGGCATTTGTTGGCGGTAGCCTCGCCCAGGACGTGATCAATGTGCTGAGCGCAAGAGAGCAACCACTACAGAACCTCTTACTATTCGACGGCGACAAGTCCGTCGCACCCATCTACCCATTGCATCCTTTCTTCCCACCAGAGGTGGACAATGCTCTTTCTGCCGTTCCTCCTGTTGTGAATGCAATTCCCATCAACGGCGAACCGAGCGCCGCTCCTCTACCGACGAATCCACCTACAAATATCTAAAAGCCTCCCAATTGTCTCGGTTGCAAGTTGACCGGCGAGTCGGGAGATCGCACGCTCTCTCGAGGCTGCTCCTCTTGTCTTCGTCTACGCACACGTGTTTCAATACTTTTATGACTTGAACGATAGGTTCGCGAAATTGAATCTGGCCAACAATCTTAATATAGACCGGGCCGTCTTTTTGATACAGCTCGACATGAGTATAAAAAAAGACTCAACTTTCCCAATTATCCAATTAATGATTCTTTTAAAATCATTGCATCTAACCGGTATATATACAAGCCAAAATAAATGGCCGAGGGAGTCAGGGAGTATAGAAAAGCAGGGTACCCAATCCAGTAACGCCATTCCCAACAAGCACCAATAATCTCAATCACATCATAGTCATCAGGAGCGAGATAGCTCATTCTCTAGTTTGAAAAATATGAAGTAAGGGTCTTTTGGTGTATTTAGAACGCGGATTGTCTCCTTGCGAACCCACACAAAGATAAGAGACAAAAGAACAAGATTCCGGCAAATCAGGTCGACGACGTCTCTTTCCTGACCAAAGGGGCGCTCTCTTCGTCTTCCGCTTTTCGGGGACCCATGGCGTGGTTTCGATTACCGGGCACGTCCTCATCTTCTTCGTCGGTGATAAGCCCCTGCAACTCGAAGGCCTCGGCGTCATGGACCTGCTGAGACTCTGATGCCGAACGGGCGTGGCCGTTAATAAAGGTAGAGTCCTGAACCGGGTCTGTGGTGCTCGAAGAGTGAGAATGGGCAGACGGTTTGGCGGAGTTGGGCCATGCGTGGACAGCGTAAATATGTAGAAGGATATTGACGACTACGTCGAAGGTTAGAACAAGAAACCAGCAACCTAAAAGAGGACGAAGGATAAAGACGGTCCACTTACAGAGGAAGAGAATGAAGGCGATGCTGTACAGAATCAGAACATAGGACACGTGGGTGATTCCAGCATCGTGCAGTAGCTGCATTTGCTCCTCTGTAGCGCCCATGAAGAGGAAGCCAGATGCGTACAGGAGCTGTGAAAATCACTTGTCAACCCAAACTACGTCCGAATGCACGGTTCCGGAAGAAAGACGCAAGATGAACTTACAAACGGGGGCAGATATTGGAAGCTGTTAGGGTCCGAGCCGTCGATGCTCAAAGTGTTTTTGTCCTTCAGCACAAAGGCAATTTCAATGATTCTTGTAAACCCAGCAGCCATCAATGTGTAGCCAAAAATGGAGTGAATCATGKTGCTGATCATCAAAGTCTGCGGATGAGCCGACATCGCATAACCTGTCAGCAGAATAACGATGGCCGGGATGAGATTTCGCTTGGGGCGGCCATTTCTCTTCCTACTCATCCAAATACCCAAAAGACCAGCACACCACCAGACGATGCCCATAGTGGTATGCTGCAGATCATTGTGCACCCATGGTCCTCCCCAACGATGTTCCGTAAAGGTGTTGACGCATCCCCAGGCCGCGATGACCAGCGAGTCGAAGAACTCTTGACTGCGGCCGGTACGGCGCAGCCAGAACTGACCAACAAGAAGCAGGATAGTAAGCATGATACCATAGGCAATGAATGCGCTGCCCATGATGAAATGCGCCAGACATTGTCCGAGATGATCACCCTGGCAGAACCCATTCGCCGCGATACCCCCGAAGAGCATCTGCGTCCAGCTCACAATCGGCATCGCCTTGCCGAGAACGCCGTGCAGCACTACGAAGAACCGACGGATTCGACCATGGATTCCCTTGGAGAGATGTAGCTTGAGATAAAGACCGAGAACCACCTGCACCACAAGCAGAAGCATCAATAGGTTCGCGAACGAGGCATGGACATTCTTTCCGAACTGACGGCCCTTGTGAGCGTGGCCTAAAAAGTATGCAACGACTGCGATAACAGTGCCGACGATCTGAAGAGGGACATGCCACCGCGAGCGAATAATCTAGGCAAACAAGCTGTCAGTTCAAACGTCGGTGCGATCTTCTGCGACCGGCCATTATCGGATGGTCAAGACAATGAACATACCCCAAGTACCATTCCCAGCGGAAAGATGATGCCAAAGGTGAATCCCATCAAGATCATATGTATCCATAATGTCGAGTCCTACTCCGGAGAGCAATGTTAGTCCGTTTGCACTCGTCCCTCAGGGCAGAATAGTAGCAAAGTGCGAACGCCACGACACGTACAATAGGATCTTTGGAGACGGCGGCACCCTCAGGGACACTCTCGTGGCCGCCGTGAGCCACGACGGAGGATGCCAGGAGAAGGGCAACAAGCACCCCTCGTAGGTCCAATATACCCATCATCTTCTTCATCAAACTCTGCAGGAGGTTGAGAGGGAGTTGAGGGAAGAGGGGAATAAAGAGAGCAGATGGTCGATGAACCAAGATGATGTACTCCGTCCTGGTGGAGCCCGCAGAGTTACGACGGATACGACGGGGACGAATGCCCGATTCGGGCCAGGAATTCGGAGTGTTCGGATTGGTCGGAGATGGTTGTTTACTTTACTTGTATACCTTATGTTCGGCAGTATTGATAGCCAGGGGAATGAATTGTTCACCAGAAAGTAATCTACCAGAATTATAGCAGTATATAATGGTGCTGTTGTACTGTTTTAACATAGTGAGGATCTTGCTGATCGTTCTGTATAGCAAGGCATCTACCGAACAAGCGACAGCATCTCGTTTTCCTCTTAAAACATCGACATCCGTGCAATAACTCTCTACCAAAATCACATTGCATCGACAAATATCATGTGTCGACTAACCACTCCCTGAAAAGCAGCACTCTCGTGAATTTTTCTGGCTTGCTCTTC